CCTGCCTCTGCCTCCCGAGTGCTGGGATTAAAGGCGTGCGCCACCACCGCCCGGCTACCTTAAGGTTTTTGACCTTAAATCTAAGACAGCAGAGGCCATAAGCCGATGCCCACTTACCATCTCTGCAAAGAGTGGAGTCACAAGGACAGGGCACCAGGAAAGAGGAATCCACGCCATCATCCTGACTATGCCCACAGCTGCTAAGGTGGACGGGATCCCCACCTGGCTTCAATATTCCCAGGTGAAGCCTGTGGACACAATGTTGACCTTGAGGGCTGTGCTCCACACGCCAACCTTGGACTTTGAAGGTCGTTACCCACCTGCAGGACCCTCTCAAACTGAGAATTCGGATGTCATTGACCCAGTTGGTAGGCTAAACATTGACTATGTCTGTCCTGCTCCCTAGCCTGTACTTGCTAGGGTATCCCCATTACTCTTAAATGCTGGGCGGAATAGCTACACTCCCCCGTCGACCCTACCGCCTCACCTGGGTTATTATTGATTCAGGAACTGGGTAAATCCTGAATCAAACCTCCCACCTGCCCCCATGGGGACCTAGTTCTCCGGCCTGTCCTTTGACCTGTTCACTTTGGTATCCCATCATTCCTCAAGCCTCCAAGGAAAACATTTCTGTATCTGTCCTGGCCATTACAGAGACAGGGAATCGGAAAGGAAATGTGTGTGGGGGCCAGATAAATACTATCGTGCCTCTTGGGATTGTGTTTCCATGGGCCACATCTGGTGGACGGTCCCGCAACATGGAGACCTCACCACTGTTCCTAGGGCCGGTCACCCAGCCTGTGAATGGGATTACTCTCTGTTGAAGTGTATCAATCTGATCCTAATTCAGTTCATCAAGTCAGCCAGGAAAGCTACAGGACAGATGTCAGGTAAAACCTGGGGCTTGAGACTCAAGCAATGGTGATCCGCAGGAACTGTTCCCTGCTCAGCTGTATGCTCAGCCTCCATTATCAACCATACCTTTGGGTCACAATAAGGTACTGACTGCTCCAACTAAGCCAGAAGGCACAAGAGCCCCGATATCTACTACTGAAACCCCACATTCAGACATGCCCTCTGGCCCAATTTCCACTGTGCTTTTTATTAAAGTCATTGCATTTTTCATTGTTAGAATTTCTTTTTTTTTTCTTGAAAATACTCAATACTGGGGGGGGAGGGGAATGGGTCCTGAGAGAGGGTCTCACTATGTAACTCTGCTTATTACAGAACTCGATATGTACACTGATGTGGGATGCCCTTCTGTATCCTGTGACTATGTTTTATTACCATTGATTAATCAATAAGCTGATTTGGCCAATAACCAAGCAGAATAGAGCCAGGCAGGAAATCCAAGAAAGATAAAAGGAAAAAGAAGGCAGAGTCTGGGAGTCGCTGACAGCCACTGGAAGAAGCAAGATGTGAGATAACACCACGGCCATGTGGCAACACATACAATAATAGAAATGGGTTAATTTAATATGTAAAAGCTAGTTAGTAATAAGTCTGAGCCATCAGCCAAACAGTTTGCAGTTAATGTTAAGCCTTACAGCATTCATCTGGGAACTGGTGGGCGGGAAAGAACCCTCAGGCTACAATAGACCAGGCTGGCCTCTGCCTCCTCAGTACTGGGATCAGAGGTGTGCACCACACAACTGGCTAATATCTGATTTCTTGCTGCATTCTTCTGCCATGCTCTTGGCTTTTCATCCATAATGCTAAAGTTTAGCCATTTTGTTGACTTCCTCCCTATGTTGCTGGCTTTCTTCTTTAGGGTTCAGTGCTGATTTTCATATTATGTTCATCTCTCTTTTTCTCTCTGTGTGTTCTCTTTGAGGTCATCTATACTTTTTGTTAGGTTTTGGCATCTCCATCTGTAAATTCAGTAAGTCAAGGGTCAGGGTTTTTTTGGTCGGAATTTCATGTCTCTCCCCTCTCTGTGCTGTGACTTGTGCATCTGTTGATTTCAGTATCTCTTCCAGTGATGGGGGGAATTTTTATGAGCTGCCGTATGAATGTCAGTACCTGGAAGAGCAGCCAGTGCTCTTAGCCACAAACCCTTCTCCAAATTCTCATGATGTGGGAGTGTCATATATCAATCTGTTGATTTCATTGGCTAAGTTATAATAAACCAGCTGCTTGGCCTCATGGCTTGGAACATAGATGGGAGGAGTAAACAGAATAGAATTCTGGGCGGAAGAGGAAGTGAGGTCAGACTCTGCTCTGCTCCCGGAGAGACGCCATGCTCAGCTCTCCTGGGTAGACGCGATAGCTCTGCTCTCTGAGGCACACGCGATGAAGATGGATGTAGGCTAGAATCTTCCCGGTAAGCGCACCTTGGGGTGCTTACACACATTATTAGAAATGGGCTAGTCCAGGTGCGAGAATTAGCCTGTAAGGGCTAGAGTTCATGGGCCAAGCAGTTCTTTAAATGAATACAGTTTGTGTGTTGTTATTTCGGGCATGAGCTAGCCAAGCGGCCGGGGTGTTGGGGACGCAGCCCCGCCGCTCATATTCCAACATTCTCAAGTGGTTTTTTTTTTTTTTTAAATCAGCTTTGTCTGTAGGCATGCCTTTGATGGGTTGTCTTTATTAACTGATGTAGGAATACCCAGCTCATTGGGGGTGGCACCAGTCCCTAGGAGTAGAGCCCAGAGCTATATGAGATAGGAGACAACCAAGATCAATAGAGAAGCAGAAGTAGGCACATAGGTACCTTTGTTTCTCTCTGCTCTTAAAAAAATAAATTTATTTACTTACTATTTAGAGGGAGGGTGCACACATGTACGCTAAAGATTGTGTGTAGGGGTTAAGGACACCTCTGGTAGAAAGCCACACGCCTGGGTCCCAGAGGTTGAATTTAGGTTGTCAGTCTTGATGACAAGTGCCTTACACTGAGTCATCTCACTGAGTTTCGTCTGTGCTCTGAACATTGGATGTGACGTGACTATCTCCTTGACACATGGGCTTCCCCTCAATGACGGAGCTGTAAGTCAAGGGGACCCTTTCCTCTAAGTTGCTTTGGGCCAAGGTGGTTTTTTTTGTTGTTGTTAATCACAGCAACAAAAATGGAGCTAGAACAAGAGATAAGTTCATTAATTAAAACCCACTCATACATCTGCAGCTGACATCTAATGGAAATGAGAGATTCAGAGTAATTACGTAGTAAATGTGTGATGAGGAGGCGCCCGGGAAGGACAGCAGAGCAGAAGTAGGTTAACAAGTGAAGGGCGATGGGGAGGGTGGGGAGGCACGCTGTGCAGAGGGAGGAAGGGAGCAAGAGATGAGGAAAACCGGACAAGAAAATAGAAAGGGAAGGAAAATCTGCTCAGCCAGAAAACCTGGAACCAAATATAAGACGGGGAACAAACAAACAAATACAACCTACAAACCTCTTAAAAATCCAAAAAGATAAAGTCAAAATACTTCTCTCTAGGGCAGCTTGTACTCTCCCAATGCCTGCTGGGAGCCGGACAATGGAGGAAGCAGAGCAATGCTGGCTTCTTCCTGTCTGCACCTCTTGCTGTTTCTTTCAACTTCCCAGATGTACTATTGCTTATTTTTGTTTTTTTGTTTGTTTGTTTGTTTTTTGATTTTTTTGTTTGTTTGTTTTTTTGAGACAGGGCTTCTCTGTGTAACAGCTCTGGCTGCCCTGGAGCTAGTCTTATAGACCAGGCTGACCTCGAACTCACAGAGATCCGCCTGCCTCTGCCTCCTGCCTGCTGGGATTAAGGGCGTGCGCCACCACCACCCAGCTTGTTTTTGATTTTCAAAACTCTTTTTCTTTTCTTTGGGTTAGAGATGATGATGATGATTACTATCTTTACTTCACTGGTCTACACAGAGGTTCCTTTGGTCTGCCATCTTGACCTGTGGTCCCTGGTCCTGAGTTATTCTGTTTTATATTCCTTCTCTCTGTGCAGCCCTTGCTGTCCCGTCTAGTTCATACCCTCCTCTGTCCTGTCCTCCCCAGACCCAGGGCTAAAATGGATTACAGGCATGCACCATCAAACCCCGCCAGACACGATCTTTTAAACAGAGCTGTGCTTAGAATTCCTGGCAGATCAGAAGCTCCCGTGCCTACCTTCCTTTCTCCTTTAGAACTGTCTTAATTCTGTCCACTTTACAGTAAGCACTCAATAAATCCCAACTGAGCTGCCCATGAACCGAGGAGGACAGAGGGGGAGGTTTTAAATGTCCTCATTATCATTCCAATTTCCTCTGTTTAAAATGCCACTTGGTCACTCGTACCCTCTAGGTTTTATAGATCCAAAGAAATGAATAATGGAATAATATGCGTTGGGTATAATTTGAATTACATTTCCGGGAACATGTCTTAGTAACATTCTCTAGTGTTTTCCTTTGAGTTTGAGGTAATGGGGAAATGTATGCAGAAGAGGTTTCCTGGAGCAGCTGAGCGAGTCAGCATCACATAATGTCATTGTTCTGGGTCCAGGTTCTTAGCACTGAAGGTCTAGCGAAGGTCTAGCGTGGCATGGAGGGATCCAGCTCCCACTGTGGCTTCTACATAAACCCTTCAAAACCTTAGTTCTCTGCGTGTGTGGTTCCGGAGAAACTCAACTGTTTCTTTAGTTAATCGTTGAAAAGAAAATGTTTTCTCTAGCTTTAAATCGTGTACCCATTTATTTCTTCTCAGCTCGCTTGCTTTTCTAATGATGATTTGATGGAAATGAACAAAAACATATACAGGTCAGAGGCCGCTCAGACAGATGCCCGTGTCAATGAAACTGGGTGCAAGATGACATAGGTTTCCTAGATAA